CCCAGGCAGTGCTGGGAGCATTCTCAGGATAAGGTTACAAAAAAAGACCAGTCCCCGCTGTGCAGCCCTGGGATCAAATCCCAGCCCCCTGTGCCACTCTCCAGTTCCGTGACCTCAAGCAGATCATTCAGCTGCTCCCTGCCTCAGCTTCTTCATCTGTACAATGGGGAGAACAGTTCGCACCTCCCAGGTCCTTGCGAGTCTTGAATGAGTTAATGGCTCCGAGCCTGGCGTGCCGTAAGCCAATAAATGCTGGCTGGGATGGTCCCCCCTACCCGGGCTCCAGGAACCCAGACCCCGCCCCGTGCCACCCTCAGGGCCAAGCCGGCAGCTGTTGGCAGACGAGGCCCGAAGCAGCGCCAGGCCACCACCTCCCCGCCCCCGCGGCAGCTGCACCCAGAGGACACAGGGTGCATTATTCCCAGGACAACTGCAGCCCGGGGGCCACCGGGTGTCCCCCCCACCTTGGGACTCGCAGAGGCTGTGTCATCCTCTGTCCACTCCTACATCCTCAGGGCCTCCGTCCTCCCCTCAACCCACAGAGCCCCAGCAAGGCCCACAGGCGCCAGGAGTCTTGGGGTCACACTAGGTTTGCCTCTGGCCTCTGTTACCATCTGAGATGTGGGGATAAGGACAGCAGGCACCTGGACAACCTGGGACTCCCTCCACACGTGTGGACTTCTCGAGGGAAATGCAGACAAGGGCTCATACGTCTCAGTCGTCCGACGTAGTCCTCTGTGCTCCTCAGGCCACCTCCCCCGGGGACTCAGCGCATCCCAGAGCTCCCCACGCCCCACGAAGCAGACCCCACCGCAGCCCTCCGAGGGAGTTGCTGCTTCATTTCCATTAGAGGAGGAAACCGGGAGCCTGGAGGCCACGGGGGCTGGATGCCAGAGGCCCTCACACTTTCCTATAAAGGGCCAGATGGTAAAAACACCTCGAGCTTTGAGGGCCACGAGGTCTGTCTCCTCTACTTGCCCCTGCCACTGTAGTGCAAAAGCAGCCACAGGTGATGGGGACTGAATGGGCGTGGCTGTGTGCCAATAAAACTTTATTTACAAAAACAGGCTGAGGGCCAGATTTGGAACTTGCTGGAGTTTGCTGGCCTCCTGTTCTAAGCAACTCGCAAGTCTTAATCCATGTAACTGCCACAACCACCATGGGAAGTGGATTACTGTCTGACGACATGCCGAAGGCACTCAGCACCCTACCTTGGAAGGTGCTGGAAGGGGGAGGCTGCAGGGGCGCCCACATCAGAAATGGGGTCCCAGCCACACATCCGTTCACCCCATAGAACCATGGGGCTGAGCATAAACACCAAAGCAGCACCCCTTCCAGGGACCCAGAGTGCAGGACCTCCAGAAATTAAAGGCAGTCCCTGGAAAAAGCCTCGGAAGTGTGTGTGCATGTCAGGGGGTGCGGGCTCACTGCTCCCCGGCAGGAGCACAAGCAGGGCCACGGGCACCCGACCCCACCCACAGCAAGCCGCGGACAGCTCATGCATCTGGCACCCCCGGGCCTTTGCGCAGGCTGGCTCTGCTGCCCGAAGTGCCCAACACCCCTTCTGTGCCAACTGACGTCAGACCCATGCCCCAATGCCACCGCCCAGCCCCTCACTGCAGTCCACCTCGGGGGCTTGGCTGGTCTCTCCCTGCAGCCCATGTCATTTCTTGAGGTTCTTAAGACGAATGGCAGCAGCAAGCATGGCACCCAGAGGCCGGCGGCACTACCAGCGACAAGAAACATCTCCGCTATCCCATCTCCGTGCTTCTAACCGGACCAAGAAGAGAGAGAGCACAGCAAGGACGAGGATGTGGAAGGGGGGCTCTGGGGACCGGGCCACCCCAAAACTGAGAGCAAACCACTCATCCAACCTGGGAATAATGCCCCAAAGCAACACTAACCAAAAGTAAGTTTCCATCCCCAGGACTAATGGGCAGCACCAGCAGAAGCAGCAGCTGGCAACCACTATTGACACTCGGAAAAGTTGCTGGAAACTTACTTCCTTTAAACTCTCCATGGATAACAGCTGTTGTCTTTAACAGGTTCTTCTTTAAGATTCGGGTTTAGCTTTGATTCACAGCAAAACTGCACAAGCCAGTCCATCACCTGATGAACAGGTAAGTAAAACGTGGCATATCCATACAATGCCATGTGAAGGGCCGGGCATGGAGGCCGAGGCAGGAGGATTGCTTGAGCCCAGGAGTTCAAGACCAGCCTGGGCAACGTAACAAGACCCCATCTTTTTTTTTTTTTTAAAGGATTGAAGCACTGACCCAGGCTACACCGTGGATGAAGCCCGAGAATATGCTGCTGAGTGAAAGCAGCCAGACATAAGAGGCTGCAGAGTGTACGATTCCACTTATATGAAATGTCCAGAATAGGCGAATCCACACAATGGACGAGTGTTTGCCAGGAAAAAGGAGGAGGGGTAGTGAGGAGTAACACAGCTTGGCTGTGTCCCCGCCCAAATCTCATCCTGAATTGTAGTTCCCATAATCCCCACGGTCGTGGGAGAGACCAAGGGAGGTCATTCAATAATGGGGGCGGTTTCCCCACAACCTGTTCTCGTGATAGAGTTCTCATGAGACCCGAGAGTTTTGTAAGCGCCTTTCCCCACTTTTGCTCTGCACGTTTCCTTGCTGCTGCCATGTGAAGAAGGGCGTGTTTGCTTCGCCTTCCATCAGGACTGCAAGTTTCCTGAGGCCTCCCCAGCCACGCTGAACCGTGAATCAATTAAACCTTTTTCTATTAGAAATTACTCAGTGTCAGGCATGTGTTTATTCACAGTGTGAGAACAGAACAGGGAGCGACTGATTAGTGATTAGTGTGGAGTTCTCTGTTTGGGGTGATGAGAATGTTCTGGAACTCGATAGAGGTGACAGCTGCACAACACTGTAAATGTCCGACAAGCCAATGAACTGTTACTTTAACGTGGTTACATTTACGTGAACCAGCCCTCAACTGAAAAATTAGAGGCAGACACGGGTTGCCAGGACCGCTTCCCCGGTGCTAGGTTTCCCGGAATGGGGGCTGAGGGAGCCCGGCGGTCAGGCCTGCAGGCACAGTCGCGATGACTGTCCACCTTCCCACCCAACCAAAGCCAAGGGAAGCAAAGCAACAAACTAATACACCTGCACAAGTTGCCAGGGTGCGGTTGGCACCATTTATCAGATGCCCCTGCTGTAAAACTTCAAGCCAATGTGAAGGAGAAAAGTTTATCATGCAAAATTGAAGACACAGAAGCAGAAAAGCCCTCCAGCTCCCCTATGCCAGCTCCAGGAAAAAGTGGGGCCCAGCTTCATGTACTCCCAGTCTAACCCCTACTCCAGTGACAGGTTCCAGGACAGGCATGGGCCCACTCATGGTGAGAAGAAAAAGCAGTTAAGGGCTAGAAATGTGGAGAGAAGGTGGGAGACTGCTCTTTTTTTGCTGGCCTTGAACCTAGGAGGAGGAATGCCTAGAGCCACCAGCTTCCTTCCTGCTAACACGCCAAGACCCCGTGAAAGATGGCAGAGCCAAGGGAAAACAGGCAGGTTCTCAGGACATTGTTTCACCCAGATCAAGCTGTACCTGAAGCTAACAAACCTGGACTTCAGTTATGTGAGCCAGAATTCATGTTTAAATTTGACAGGGGCTGTCTGTCCCCGTTCGGGATTTTCAGAGATGGTGGTATTTGTGATAATTCTAAAGTCCCCAAAACAAAGTTCAGTGAATTCCCAAGGAAGTCTTTGATGCCACAGAACTCCAGAAGCTGAAGGGCAGAGAAGCATCAGAAAACAGGAACACAGCAGGGCAGAGGGGGCAAACACAGAAACATCCCATCGAATTCCTGCCTCAGGCACCCAGCTGAATTCCGCACAGCAGACGCAGACGCCTCTGAGAGCACTCTCCCAGGCATGTTCCCTTGCTCACACTTTCCAAATCTCTTCACAGCCTGGAGCAATTACTGCGGCCAGGCTGGCCAGGCCCCAGCACCAACCCCGTCACGCTCCCCACCTTGTGGTCCAAGCAGAGAGGAGAGAGAGACAGACACAGAGACGGAGACAGACAGACAAAGAGGTCGAGAAACAGAAATGGACATGGATAGAGACAGAGAGAAATAGAGACAGAAAGAGACGTGGTAACAGAGACACAAAAAGAAAGAGATAGACACAGACAGACACAGAGACTAAGAGAGATCCCAGCGGGCGCACCGCAGGCAGAGGGATTCCTGACAAGGGGGAAAGCCAGGTAGGCAGAAAGAACCGCAGAGCAGCGGTAAGGGACACAGACCCTCCCAACCCACAGGCCCGAGGGTGCAGCCAGGCTGGAGAGGCTGGCAGGCAGCAGACTCAGCCCCCAGGCCTGCTCTCTGTGCAGACACAGAACACGCACGTGGCGGACAACAACGGCCCACTCAGGGGTTGGTCGCCCTCCAAGACTGGGCCCTGAGCTGCACACACACACACACACACACACATGCCACACACAGATGTGCACACACACACACCACACATACTACACAAAGACACGCATACACACACCACAAAGACACACACCACATAAACATACACACAGACATCACACACAGGCACACACACTCACACCCACACACACATACACCACAAACACACACAAACACCACACACACACACACCACACACACACACACCACAGACACACGCGCACACACACAGCACAGACACACACACACAGAGAGACACCACACACACACAGACACACACACCGCACACAAACACACATACTACACACAGACGCACACACACCACACATACTACACAAAGACACAGACACCACACACATACCACAAAGACATACACCACACAAAGATACACACACAGACACCACACAGACACACACACACACACCACACACACATACACACACCAGACACACCACAGACACACACACACGCACACTCACACATACACACACCACACAGACACACAGGCATGCACACACACACACACACATACACACACACACACACATACACACACAAACACACACACACACACACTGGCCTGCTGTCTACCCAGGCCTCTCCCAGGAGGCTGAGCTAAAACTCTCTCCTGCCTCTGTGACAACAACAGAGGACAGAGCGGCTTCCAGTGCTAATGGGGGTCCCGGGCAGAGGGAGGAGGGTACCCGCCAGAGAAACCAGAGGGGGCACAGAACAGCGGGTCAGCCTGGACGCAGGCCTGGGGTGCACTCCCAGCTGCCTAGGCCTGAATCCCATTCCCCCTCATTCAGCTCACTCAGCCGGGGCCTTCTACAAAAGCGGGTACCGACCCAGCCTCCCGCGGCTGGGAAGAGACCAGGGAATGACACTGCTGGCCGTGGCGTGGCTCAGGGAACATCACCTGCCATCACTGTCGGCGTTCTTATCGCCTGCACACGGGCCTCCCGATAAAGGACCTGTCTTACCCCAAGAGTCCACCATTCAATCCCATCGGCCTCCTCGGGCAGAGAAGGGGACACTGCAGGCCTGAGTGCGCCACCTCCCTCCCCCACCTGGCTCCCAGTGCCCACCGCCACCCCTACTCCTGCTGCAGAAGGAGGATCGCCTTTGTCCAGAGGCTGCTAAGGAGCTTAGGGTGCCCCAGGGCCGTGCAGGGAGGAGCCTGCTACACAGCTGGCCAGACACCCGGCTGCAACAGGATGAGGACGCCACCTGGCCACGGTCCCCACCCCAGCCTGGGCAGTCAGACGTGGCTGGGCGGCTGAGTGACCCTGGGGGACAGAAGCCTCTGGGGCCACTGCCTGCAATCTCCCCAGCAGCCCTGCCATCGGCGTCCTCTGTGGAAGCTGGAGAGAGAAAGCACCTCCAGCCTGGGCTGCCCTGAGCTTTACTGAAGCCACAACAAACTCCCACGGCAGCAGACTCCCACGGCAGCAGACTCCCACGGCAGCACACCACAGGTGCTTCATCTGTGCACAGCCTCCCCGCCACCGCCCTGCCACTGTCTAGGTTCCACTTTCTGTTTGAAAGGAGTGAAATCAAAGGGCTGTTCAGGGCACTGGAGGTGTGGCAGGCCCCAGGCTGGACACACACACGTGGGAAGTGTCGCTCTCCAGCCAAGAGGGCCACGGGCCAAGCACCCCCAGACACCCTTGTCCGGAGGTGGGTTGTGAGTTTCTGCAATGAACTGACGGCTCACAGGGCCCTGGACTCCAGGGGAGTCAGGGAAGGAGGGGGAGCAGATGGGGGTAGGCTTGGGGGAGCAAGGAGATGGGGGGGGGATGAATGGATGGGGAAGGGGCAAGGCCACCGGCGGGAGAGGAAGGTAGGCAGAACCCATGGGTGAGGGTAGCTTCAAGGTGGGGAGGGGTAGTAAGGAAAGCAAGGACAGATGGCCGCAGGCAGACGCAGACAGGCTGGGTGCAGCTGGGCAGCTCTGTGGTAGGGAAGGAGCCGCAGTGGATGAGCAGGGAGAGGTGACAAGAGGGAGGAAGCAGGGGGTGAAGGGGAGTGAGCAGGACAGGGGGCTGTTTGGGTGGAAAGAAAGGGAGGGAAGAAGGAGGGAGATGGAGGAGAGAAAGAAGGGGAGGAGGGGCAGGAGGGATGTGCTGGAAGGGCTGGGCCTGGGGCAGGGGCAGGGACAGGGGCAGGGATGCTGGCTCCGGTCCCCAAGGGGGCACTGCCCGAAGGAGAAGCCCCAGCACTGACACCAGTCCCAAATCCAGACTCAAGTGCAGGGTCCCAAGCCCCAGGCCACAGAGATCCCCTTCATGCCAGCAGGGATGCTGTGGTTGAATCTTACACCCCAGGAGGATGTGGTGGGGCTGCAGCCTCAGCCATGAACGGCCTCAAGGGTCCCCACAGGGCTGGCCACAGGTCTCCCTGCCACGCAGGCCCTGAAGGGCAGCCTGGACTGGAAGGAGAGAGGGACGGAGGAATGTGCCTGAGGGGAGGGCGCTCCTGAGGGGTGGGCGCTCTAGCCGAGGGCGTAGCCAGCGCAAAGCCCCCAGGCGGGAATGTGCCTGCGTGTTTGTGGAGCTCCAGGGTGGTCTGGGAGGCTGCACCTGAGGGGCTGAGAGGACTGCAGGGAGATGAGCTCAGGGAGGTGATGGGGCTGGATCATGCCAGACCTGCAGGCCATGACAAGGATTTTTGGCTTTTTCCTGCTTGATACAAGAGCCACGGATGGTTTGGAGCACAGGGGGACATATGGGGGGACACCCCCCGGGTGACACAAGCGTCTGCCTTTACAAGAGCCCTCTGGCTGCTGCTTGGAGGAAAAACTGAAGGGGGAAGAGGGAGGCCGCAGCAGGGAGATCCGGGAGGAGGCCACTTCAACGTTCCCAGCGAGCAGTGACGCGCTCAGGTGGCCTCAGGTGTGGGCTGAAGGCTGGAACTGGGATACCTTAGGGCAGAGGCGTCAGAATTTGCCGATGGGCAGGAGAGCAGGGAGGTAGCCAGGGAGGAGGCCTAGTGGCAGCAAAGACGCGGCTGCATCTGCCTGGAAGGCACTCAGGTGCCTGCGGTCTGTTGGCCAGGAGTTGATTAACTGACCACCTTCCCGTGACAACTTGATGGAGGGGGTTGGGGGTGCCCCAGCAGCAGGAGGCCAAGCCAACCAACGAACACACAGACACCCTAGCCCCTCCCTGCCCTGCCCCACAGGCAGCCCTGAGGGCACCTGGCAGGTGTGCAGATGGCGGGCCACAGCCATGAGAGCAGGAGGGGAGTCCGGCCATCCCAGCCCCAGGACGGAGCCCACCTCCTGCCAGCCCAAGCCCAACCCAGGGATGTACCAGGGCCCATGCGGGCACCCTCTCTCCCCAGCAGAAGGCTGACTTTGGCCCTGCAGCCAGGCTGCCACCCATGCAAGCTCCTGGGTGCCAAGCAGCTCCCAGGCACGGGACCCACAGCCAAGCCCTCTATGCAGATGACCAGGTGACACCCTGCACACCAGCTCCCAGACCGGCGAGGAAGAAACGGGGCTCCGAGAGGCACAAGGGCTGCACAGCCGTGGAGGTGGGGGTGTTAGAAGTCGTGCCTGGGCCCCCTGAGGGCAGATGGATGGAGGGCCCTGGGATGGGTGAGTGCCCCGGTGAGGCCTGGGGCCACCCGCAATGCCAGGCAGCCCCACATGGAGAGGCAGACGAGCCTAAAGTCGTCCGGCTACCCCTACCCAAAGCTCAGCCATGGTCCCTCACACCTGGTGGCTGCAGACTCAACCCGGGCCAGCCCAGTGCCACATGGCGCCCCGAGGAGTGGCCAGACTGGGCAGTGGAAGGAGGCTTTGTTGCTCTAGGGGTCAGGCCATGTCCTATCCAAGTACCACCTTCAGTGCTGAGCCAACTCTGCCCATCTCACTCTGGGGGACTCTGGAGTCTCCCCTCCCTGCCGCTTAAGAATCCAGAAGCCCCAGGGGCCTGGCAGAGCCCTGAACTGAACGCCTCACAGGTCGGGGTTCAAGGCCCAGGGGGCTGCCTGCTATGTAGGGCTGGAGGCATGGGTCACTGAGCCCCCCATTCCAAGCAAGCACAGAATCAAGCCACCCACCCTCAGTGAAGCTCTCGGAATGTGCTAAAAGCTGAACGCCGACCACAGGACGGTCCTGACCCCCATCAGAGGGCAGCTCTCTGCTCCTTGGCGCCCCCGGCCCTCCCATCTCAGCTCTCCCCTCCCTTACTCCAGCTGCCCCTGACCACAAGCCTATGCCTGCCCCAGGGCCTTTGTACCTGCTGCTTGGCCCCCCAGAACACTTTCCCCACTTCTTCCCACGCTCGGGCAGCTCCAGAGAGACCTGCTGTCTGCCCTCCTCCTGCCACCCAGCTCCGGGCACCCAGTGCTCGCCCACCTCCGAGGAGCTCCCGGCTGGGGGCCCGGGCTTACCTTGGTGAGGTCCTCGGATCCCCCAGGCTGCCCTGCGGCCAGCAGGGGTGACGGTCGCAGCAGGGGGTCGGGCAGCAGCTCCAGCCGAGGGCGCTTGCTTTCAATGAACTCCATCTCTGACTTGCCCAGCTCGGGCAGGTACGAGTGGGACTCTGGCCGCAGGTGGAGCTCCTGGGACCTGTGGGAGGGGAGGCAGGCGGCGTCACAGGGAGAATGCGGCTCTGAGAACGCCCGAGGTCCCGGCCGCCTCTGCACATACCCCCTACTGTGCGCCGTGCTCTGTGTGGTCCTGCGGGAAGGTGCTCACGGGATCCCACCTCCCATGGCCCCACAGCAGGGCAGGACTGCAGTGCGGCGCTGCCTTCCTTCAGGTCCACGCTCACCGAGGACATTTACAGGGAGGGAGGGCGCTACAGTGGCACTACAATGCCCCAGAGTGACTGCCCCTCCCTCGCCACTCAGGGTGGTCGGTGCACCAGCTCACCGTCCCCACCTGGGGCTGGCTACAAATGCGGAATCTCCAGTCCCGCCCGAGACCTACTGAGTCAGGCTCCAAATCTTAGCAAGACCCCCCGGTGGTTCACAGGCACAGCCCGTCTGGGAGACGCTGTGGGCCTCGCGCAGATAACAGCACCCGTGACACCGTTTCCCTGCCACCCACGCCGCGCAGACATCGCTGGCCGATCGCGGAACTCCTGCGGAACCTGGCCCCGCCACCTCTCAACTCGGCCCAGCAGCCCGGACTCCCCACTGACAGGCCCTCCTGAACCCTCCTCCGCAGTGTGCCCAGAGAGCACGTGGCCCTGCCTAGCTCGGCACACCCCACGGAGCTGGGACTCCTGGCCTCCACCTCTCGGGCTCCAGCCATCACCCACCACAAAGAGCCTGAACATGGCCCTTGCTAAAATGCTTTTCCCAGAGGCTGAGCAGGGAATGCATGGCCATTCCCCTCCTGCACGGGCCCTGCCTGGCCTGGTCCTCGATGACCCCCCGCTGCACTCCGGCCCCAGGGCCTTTGCACCTGCTGGGCTCTGCCTGGAGCATCGGGGCCGCAGGCCCTCCATATGGGCTCCTCCCCTTCAAGTTTTGGTGCAGATGGCACCTCCTTGCCCCAGGCCAGACCCCACCTCACCTGTCCACTGCCCTCCCCGTGTGCTTGGTGGCCACAGGTGTTTCCTGGCCGCCCCCCACCCCCACCCCGGAATGAGGCAGGGTGGTTCACCTGTCTTGCTTGTGGCTGCCCCCAGGGACTGGCACACAGTAGGCGTTCAATCAGTGCCTGTAGACTGACTGAATGCTGCCAACTGCAGCCCGGGCTGGGGCTCTGTTGCTGCCCCCGTGGGGGCGAGGCCACCACCTCTCTGTGCCCACCTCCCTGGAGGGTCCTCAAGTCCTCGTCCCTCCAAAGCTGGGCCCCAAGACATCCCCTCTTCATGGCCCAGAACCTAGGGCTTTGCCATCACGAGGTGCTTGGCAAGAAGTGCACGGTGGTGTTTTCACTTAAAACACGACAGAGGCGCCACGGTGGCCGGAGAAACATCCTCCCAAATTCACGGCCACTGAAACCTCAAAATGAGACCTTCTTTGGACCTAGGGTCACTGAACATGGAATTAAGATGAGGCCATCGTGGATTAGGATGACTGCGGTCCTTACAACAGGACCAGAGAACACAGGGACAGAAGCGGAGACGGCCATGTGAGACAGGCGCAGGCGGAGGCCGAGATCTGAGCGAGCAGCCACAGCCAGGGGACACCCGGGGCCGTCAGAAGCTGGTGGGACAGAAAAGCATCCCCCCCTCGAGCCTTCTGAGGGGCGTGGCCCTGCAGATGCTCTGAATTCAGATCATAGGAATGCACTTCTGTGGCTTGAAGCCACCCAGTTTGTGGCACGTGGTGACAGCAGCCCCAGAAAACCAATCCTGGTACCAAAGGCAGGCTGCCTTGGCCTCC